AACACTTGGTGTATGAATGTGGAATTACAGGGACAAGTTGTAAAAAGTTAGGGACAACAAATTCAGCATACCTACATTACATGTTCTGAACTGGTGCACCTTAATACTTAAGTTACAGCTGCTTTAGGTGGCAGTTTCTCTAAATGCAGGGCAACATTTAAGATGAAAGCTGTTTTGTTTTTGTTTTTTTTAACCTTTACTTAACCAGGAAAAAGCTAATTGAGATTAAAAATCTTTTTTTTAATAGTGTCCTGGCCCAGACAGGCAGTGTTGCTATTTGTTTTTCTGGCTTTTGCCCAGACGAGGTTTCGCTCATGAAGCAAATCTGCTAAATGAGAAGTGAACCAAGGATTACTCTGTCCTTTAACTCTGAAACGTTTGAGAGGAGCATGCTTATTAACAAGGTCAATAAAACCATCAAAAAAGAATTTCCACGTCAGCAGTAAGACTGATTTTGTCCCATTCAAAATGAAACAGATCATGAAGGAACCCTTGTTCAGAGAAGTGCTTCATATCACGCTTGATAATAATGGAAGGTTTGGTTTTTGGAATGTTTGTGTCTCCAACAGTTGCAATGACACAGTGGTCACTGACGTCATTAGCAAATATAGACGGTGTTGAATATTTATGTGGAACGTTTGTTGTAAGATCAATTAAAGACGACTGATCAGGAGCCTTCACGTTAGGTCTTGTGGTTTCTGTCCACAGGCAAACATGAGGAGAGGAAGGACGAGCACGGCTTTGTGTCCAGATGCTTCACCAGGAAATACACGTAAGCAACTCATTCATTATCGTGTTACATCTGACCAAAGTTATTGTTGTTCTTGATCACTTTTCCCCTTTAAAAACAGCCATTAATGATGTCTATAGTGCAATATGTCAACAATCCACTTCAAAACTTTCCAAATTTGTGACTAAGAGTTGCATTTCTCAGGCTGGGTTCAGATTCCTGTGATTCTCGTATCAGGGCTCTGTTGCCATGAGTCTTTTTAGTAGTGGGTTGGTCCGGCCTGTAGAGGGCTGCCTACTGCTGATAGATGGATTTCATGCTCTGAAAAGCAGCAGCAGCAGCAGCAGCAGAGTTGTTCGCTTCACAGAGCTCTGCTGCCATCCAGGGGCCACGCTGAGAGGACAAACTGAGCTGCTCCTGCATCTCACTTTACCTCATCAAGTGTGGTTCAATATTCCAGTCAGTGGTTGTTTAAGTCCTGTCAGTGATGGCTTTTTCATCAAGGCAGCAGCTCATCGTCAGACTCAGACTGTGTTCCTCCTGCTGCCTTCCAGGCTCCCCCCAACGGCCAACGTTGAGAAGGTGACCTCCTCCCTGTCTCCTGAGGGGGTTCTGACCGTGGAGGCTCCTCTGATCAGGCCGGCGATCGAGTCCGCGGAGACCACGATACCCGTCAACGTGGACAAAGGCAGCGTGGTGAAGAAGTAGGAAGAAAAGCAGCACGGCGTCTCCCACACACACACACACACACACACACACACACATTCAATTAAGCACTTTAGTTCTGCTACTAGAAAGGTGAAGAAGCGGCTTACTGCTCTCCCTAAACCAGGCTTGCTCTCATGCCCCGGAGAGGAGAGCGAGGGATTGCCCTTGCTCTTCCCTCTCCCCTCTGTCTCTGGTAATGAGCCAACCCTCGCTGAGTGCGCTGTGTAAACACATCTGCACCAGTGCCATATGCCCGCTCTTTGTGCTGTAATTACACTCTTCATCTGAATAAGGGAAATTTCAGCTTAGCCCCTGCTCACAGATTCTTCTTGCTTCCCTTCCCCTCGCTTACACACACCTCTCTGGTTTGTACTGAGTAACATCCCCTTCACGCCGCCTCCTCACATATGCTCAAGACAACAGCTAAGCGGACTGTAATGGCAGCGATGGTGTGAATTAGGGAATCAATATCCCAAGACAGCATGCACACCACCACTCTGAGTAGTGAACAATGCCTGTTAGCGATCACGCTGTGGTCCCCCTGGACTGGAAAACAACTGGTTTCTGCCATCTTCGGAGGCGATCTGTTCAGCCGTGCAAACAGAGAATAAAGAACACAAAACACACAGAGTCTCCTCGTTTCTGTTCTGCTGTTTGTTTGCATGACGGTGACACGGCATCGGCGGCCTTCCTCCTCATAGCAGCAGCAACTCTGACCTCTGTGTGTGTTTTAACTCTGCAATCAGGACGATAACAACTAAATGGAAAAGAGCTAAGCTGCTTAATGTTGTGGTATCTTTGGCTAAATTATTCATCTGATGGTCATTCATGCAAAAGAGAGCGAGTGGAACATGTCGGGCAGCTCGTGCCCAACAAGATGCTTCATCATTGGTGCCTTTTAACATTCTGATGTTTAATAATAGCGCCCCCATCAGGCTGTGTGAGCCATACGTAGCCAAAACCTACTTATACATCGTCTCCTTTACTTACAGCTCAATGAGTATAAAACTGAGAAGGAGGCAACATCATAAGATTCAGTTTTTATGCTTTAGTCCTGATCAGGTGACCTTGAGGCAGACAGGACTGCTGGGGCGGGTCAGCTCCTCATGATCTGGAGGAAAAGCTCATCAGGCGGTTGACATACGAGACGGACGTCGTGTGCACAGAGAACCAGAGATGTCTCTGCTGTTGTGCATCTGCAGCAAAATGTGTCATAACTTCCAAATTGCATAATTCCATCATACAGAATGTCTCTAATGAATTATTCGTGGACAGATAGATGCATAATTGATGGAGATTTGCTCTCCGCTCTTGACTGAACAAGGTCATTTAAAACAATTGCACCAGGCATGGAGGCTACAGAGAGATTGGAAATATTTCAGTGTCTTCTGGGGTACAAAGATGCATGTTTTCATGATACCAGGGACACAACTCAGAATTATTAATAACTGAATGGACTTCCATGAGATCTAGTAGACAGTCATGATTCCATCTAGCCAGGATGGTTGTGAGGAACATATCTTGACACCGAGTAAATGCAGACATCAGTGGTTCCATCCAAATAGGTCTATCAATTCTCAGTTTCCATCTAGTGCCAGCAGCAAGTCAAAGTGTTCATGAATTCTGTAAAATATCTCAATATCTCATTAGTAAATGGATAAGAACCAAATTTACATCAGGCATTCATGTCCTTGTTAATAAATCTTAACGATTCATGCTTTTAGGAGCTCAGTCAGGCTGACTTGTGCTCCACAGCTATGAGATGGTGCCACAGGCTGTATGTAAAAGATGGATGTAGCATCCAGGTCTGAAAAGTGAAGCCAATGTGGACACTGCATTATTTTCTAACAGCCAGCAGGGGGCAAAGAGAAGTCAGATGGATACAAGCCTGTGAGAAAACGACCCTATTGCTTACCTTATTTATGACCTCAGTAAACATTTTTATAATGACTTTATGTCAGTTGCTTGTTTCAGGTCTCCTCTAATACAGCGCTGTGTTCGGTTAGTAAATTATTGTCGCCTTCACAGTCAAACAGATCGTCTATTCTACTGTAAATGACAGCAGGGTCTGTTTTAGGGCAGGACCATCTTGTGATTGACAGGTCACGGCCATATTTACATCTGTGCAATGCTTTGGTTTATCTTTGTTTTAAAAAGAAATGACATTCTCAGCAGCCCCCCTCCACTCTGCGCTTAGTGCTAATTAGCAGATGTTAGAAAGCTGACATGGCAAAAGATGTCAGACGGGATGAACGCTATAGCAGCGAGCTAAACATTAGGATGTGAACACATGGAGGCATGCTGATGTCTGCTCAAAGCAGCATAGCCTGCTGTAGAGTCTTCTTAATTAATAAAAAATAATGTGCATCCAAAGCTAACAAAGCCCAGGATGATGTCTTAATCCACACGTATAGATGTTGTTTTATTTCATCAAAGAATTAACTGGTTATCAAACTCTTTACATGTCATTTCTCTGTTAACTGGCACCTGAACCAAACGGGTTGGGAATAGTTTTTGTTTTGAGTCACTTTCTGTGTTTCTGATTTACCTTTTCAGGGCTGTGAATGAACATCAGCACACAGAACAGAAAGACAAGAATATAATGAGGCATTCATTAACTTAAGACAAGTGTGTTGGACTTAATCCAACTTTAAACAGCATTAAAATAAATTAAAATACAACATTTTAATGTGCATTGTTCATTGTACATTCTGAACTATGTTGCCAGTAACCTCTTAGCATATGCTCTACTTTTATATGTGTACCTGGTTTTAAGAAAAGAGTGTATGTGTTATTTCATTGCCTCTCACTGAAGAATGATTGACACTACAGGCCCTCTGGTTGGGATCACTGCCAGCTCCCTTAACAAAACTTATGTAACTCAAAATGCCATAAGCACTGATTCAGTTCCTATAGCTCCTCTCATTGCATTTTGTCCAGCAGTCAAGATTTGGGTTGGAGTGATTTACTGCTATATGCATTATGTCTTTAGATGGGACACATTTCCATCAAGACCAGTGAGAAAAGTGTCCAAACATCTGAATTCTGAATCTCTACAGCATCCTGCAGATTTTTAAATGTTTAGAACGTATGCTAAGATACACACATAGAAAACACAATGACCAGGATGTACAGTGTGTGTAGGAACTAGGCCAGAGGCGGTCATCAGCAGACCCTATAGAGCTCCGTTACAATCAATACCCAGCACAGCTGCCTGAATGAAGCCAGCGCTACATTTTGTTAATGCTCATCTCCTTCCCGTTGATCATCAATCAGTGCAGGAGGAAATGAAAGCTGCCGCAGCACAACTGGTGACATACTGAGTGGCTGGTTGTATTCATCACCTCTTTTCCTTCCTCTCCGTCAACTTCCAGTCATTCATGTCGCATGCCAGCTCACTAATGCACATACTAACTCTACTCTTGACTCCAAAGCTGCAGGGGAGATCTATTTATAGAGCGCTCTGCTATGTACTGAGCCTCCAGCATGTTGTATGGTCACACAGGGCAGACAGCAGACATGAACTGGTGAGTTGTTGGGTTTTTTTTCTTCGTCCTATGGCTGCAGACCTGTACTGACTAATAGGCTGCTTATTAGCCATCATTAGCCTGATGTCAGCTATTTCTGCAACATTTGACAGTCTGAGCCGAAACAAATGCACATTTGCTGTACAAATAATCAGTATATATGCATTTACACTGTGTGTATGCAGCACCATATGTATTCTGTGCTTGCATCTGCTGCACTCTTTGGAAGCCATTCATGAAAGCAGACACTGACTTAAGACAAGGCAGCAGTCTCTAAACCACTTAGCATTTCAACTTTTCCTCTTCCATGAGTCACCATTTCCTTCCAGTTTAATGCAGGCCTAAATTATTCATGCCAATCCCCATCAATCCAGGAGCTATCCAGTCCTTAAACCAGGAAAGTGCCTCGTGTGAGGAGCCGTTAGCTACAGCGCTGCTGATTGGACTCTTCTCCGCTCTCTACATCCTCCCTGCACTCAGGCTGGCAGGCTGAAGAGGAACGGCTCTTACAAAGATGCTCTCCGGTGATATTTAGATGCATCAAACTCAGATAATTGACAAATGCAAATATAAACAAATTCACTTGCATATAGTGGACATTCTGTGTATTCTCTTGCATCAAATGTTATTAGAGCAGCATGTGTATTTGTATCAGGAAAACATGGAAGGAAATTCTTCTGTTTCTCCATCGTCTACAGTCTGTGGAGAGGAATGAAATTACATTAATACTACTGCCAGCTTTAATTTGTACTGTTTTAGACACATCCCAGCATAGTTTGGTTCCTCTTTTTACACCTGGCCTTTGCAACACTTTGCTTTGACATAACAGGAACAGTTTCTCTGTTTTCTCTCTCCCCTCTACCTTCAACCCAACCGATCGAGGCAGATGGCCGTCCTCCCTGAGCCTGGTTCTGTCAGACATTTTTCTTCTCACTCTCTCCACAGTGCCTGCTCCGTGGGAATCATTACATTTATTATGTTTCTCTCTATACTATAATATTATAAGACACTGACCTCGCTATGTGCCCTGATTGTAAACTGGTGCTGCATAAATGAATTGAATTCACAAAACCAGAAACTGAAGCAGCTAATTGGAATTTATCCATCAGTAATTGTACCGTTAACACCTGTCCAAATGGTGCCATCTCAGTTGCATTATAATGATGGGACACTTCTGCAGCCCAGACATTGAGCTGTTAGCGGTCTGGCTACATCCATACAGGGAGTTTGCCTTCTTGGTTGTTGTTGACGTACCCCCAACGTCACTTCTGTGGCCATCTACTGATACGATGCCTCATCTTTCTGCTGAAGTTAGGTAACTGCACAACTTCCACAATCTGGAGCAGCTGCCACAAAGCAATTTCCCTGCAGGGATCAATAATGTTTTTCTGATTCTGCTGCCTGCTGTGACCTGTCAAATGTCTTCTGTAAAAAAATGCCTCCAGTCAGTCTCACATTTCAGGAACAAACTCTTACTAGTATGCTACAAACCCTGAAATGTACAATAATTTTGCTCATTTTGCTTATTTATTACAACAGCTTTTGTGCTCTCACACAGTCTTTAATTTATTTCTGATTGTTGGTGTCCATGAACTAACTCTCCTGTCATTCCAGACCATAGTCCACCTGGACGTGAGCGAAGTAAAAATATCTTGAAAATGCTTCCTGCCATCTTGTGCTAATTTGCAGGCAGAGTCTGCAGGTATGACCAGGCGTGAGCCATTGATTTTGTTATTTATAGACCTGCCAGTCTCACTTACCCTGCTGACCTACAGTATGATCACCTGACCTCCCCCCTCCTCCTCCCTACTCACCCACTCCTACTTCCCCCATTAGTTCCCCTGCATGTATGCACCACTTACTGTTGGCTGTCCTGTGAGCACTTTGCCAAAGCGTTGCATCGTTTCATTGTTTTTTTGCTTGCTTTGAGTTTGTCTGAGGTACGGTTGAAAGCAGAAGTTTACATACAATAAAAAAATCACATTTTCAGTGCTACCTCTGTTGTCTGGACTGTATGATTATTTCACTTGATAAATGAAAATATGATAAATTCTATGTGAAAGACGTTTTTTTTAAACACCTCGATTAAATCACCCCTTGATTTCTCCAAGAGCGTTTGTGATTTGAATAGTTCTCCCCGTAGTGTTCACTTACAGCATCCCCACATACTGACAGAGCCAGAGTCAATCGATCATCAATCAAATCGATCACACCCTGAACGACTGACTGAGCGAGACTGACGCAACTAACCAACAAACTCAGGACCTGCTGGGAGCCAATGACTGGCTGAGATTGGTAAGACTGACTCACAACACTGGGTGTCGCTAGGAGATGCTGACTGACTACGACTGACAAGACTGAGACCAGTCAGACAGACGGTCGCTGTTAGCGGACAGGACCGACCAAAACTGGGAGCAACTGGAGGCCGCCTACTGACATAAGACTGACAAGACTGGGAGCCGACTGAGAGCTGCTGGGAACCACCAATGAGAGGAATGAGGGTGAATGATGAAACTGGGAGCCTTTAGGAGACACTGACTGACTGACTGAGACTGGCAAGACTGACTCATAGGACTGGGAGCCAGTGGGACCAACATTGGTAGCTGTGGTCACGCTGCAAACACAGAACATGATGGCAGTGAGTGAGCTGAAGCTTACCAAGAGCCAGCCCAGAGACTTTTGTTGTTGGTGAAGAATAACAAAGGGAAGCCTGGTATTTAATTCCTCACTACATGTGGCATATCTGATGTGTGAGTTCAGCAAAATAAGAGCACTGCTTACTCTGTAGTTATACAACATAATAGACTACATCCAAGTGATTTAATTAGGGCAGGCTGAGGAGACCTGTCTGTAAAACTGAGGTCTGAAAATACACAACACACATAATGAGGACATAAGCTGAGCCGAACCCAGAGCAGGAGCTGGAACAAATGATGAACGCCAAAGAAACTTTTCTGCACAGAAAGTCCTGAATGATAACTGAACCATAGCCCAGAGCGAGAAGGTGTGGCCACCGAACGCTGGAAGCAGATGAATGGGAGCTGACGCGCTCTGAAGTCACGGCGAGCGAGCTGTCAGCAGCTAATAATAAAGTGAACGATTTAAAGGACAAATCTTTGAAGTGAACAGTTCGAAAAGAGCCAGCTGTGCCAAGTGAATAGTCATTCTCATCACTAGAAAACACGGCCAGGCTTTACCTACAAAAGGGTTTCACTCCAGAGGTGATAACTCAGTCAGTGTGCTCAACATTTTTAATAATTACCATCTCACCACTGAGTTGACACAATACACTGTGTGCATTGATAAGGCCGGCGTGCTGATATGATATTACTATGGTAGGTGTGTGGGCCAAAGTCCAGCCCCGATAAGAGTGAAACAACAGCTGGGGATCAGAGCAGCAGGGCTCGGCAGTGGCACTGAGCCACCAGTGACAACATAAATCATCTTGACCCATAACTGATCTTCAACGGCTTTTCGTCTCTCTGCTGATCGGTGTTCAGTTCTGCATTGTAGTGAGCAACCCAGTTCTACCCTTATAGACGAGAACAAGAAGAACAGAAACAAACATGAAATATCGTTGTCAGTTAGGTTTTAGGGTTAAAGTCATCGCTCCACCGTGTATGTTGTGACCTGACTTGACTCGACTCTGTAAATCATTTAGTCGGGATCTAAAGAAAAGGGCAATAAATGTCGCTCTGTAGTGCCTATGATACTTATTTCCTTATGGCTCCTCATCGAATGATCGCATCTGCAATAAAACCAAAAGCCGACTCATTGAACGTTTAACAGTAATTTGTGATCATAAGGGACGGGCTGCGTCTATAAGCAGCCATCCTCTGAGCATGCTCTGATGAAAGCAGGTGGTGCGCCTTTTTTTTTTTTTTTCTCCATAGCAACAGCTCAGCATTGTGTCACTGTTAATTGCCTTCTGACCAATTAGCAGCCACCAGCTGTTTCCAATAATTACCTCTTCCTCTGCGACTGAAGACGTTAATTTGACAAATTGCTGCTCCTGATTGACATCAGCTTCCAGTGTTTCCAGCGGAGTCATTCCTGGAATAATGAGATGTGCTGTGATCAGAGACAGAACGTGTTACTTCAGCTGACTTACCTGTGTGAGCGTTTAGACTGAAAGGTTTGGGCCCAACGGTGTAAGTATCGGTGTAACTGTCTTTGACCCAGTGTGATGGTAGTAATGTCCTGTCAGTGTTTCCCTCTGATTCTTTGGGATGATCTGATTTTTGGTTAAATCTGTTGAACACTATTGCCACGTTCCTGCCACCTAAAAGCAGCTCAGCTCTCATCTTAATCACATGTGCTGGTAGCACAGCTGGAGGAATGTCAGTCTGAAGCCTCGGTTATACACAGACAGCTATGGACACCAGCAGTAGTTGTTATTATAGTTCCTAGTCTCTGCTTGGAAGACTCCATTGCACATGTGCACAATCATCTCTATATAATTTGCACATGAACATCCCTGCTGAGCACTATTGCCCTATTAGCATAGTCGCCATGCAGCCTACGGCCTACGCAGTAATACTTTCTGCATCCGCTAGTATGCGAGCTTCCACGTGACGTCCCAGTATTTGCTACTACACTCTACGGCAGGGGTGTCCAGTCCTGGTCCTGGAGGGCCACAGTCCTGCATGCTTTAGATGTTTCCCTCTTCCAACACACCTGATTCAAACGATCAGGATCGCTATCAAGCTTCTGCAGAGCTTGATGATGAGCTGATCATTTGTCAGTTGTAAATCCCTCAAAGTCTTATTGTGCAGTTACTGGACTTCATTTTTACTGACGGCGCGACATAAATGGTATCATGAGGGGAAGTAATTTACCAAGAAATCACTAGCGAGCAAATAGGGGGAAACAGACAGATAAATAAATAAAGGTTAGCTCATGGAGGTATCTAATCACAGACAGTCATTTCAGGTCAGTGGAGCAGAATCCTCCTGACCCGTGTCAACACATCAGTTCATGTTCTCCTGCCAAAGAACAAGATCTGCTGAGGAGAGAATTAAATTCAAGACAGAAATGTTTTCCTTTTTAAAATGACAAACTATCCAGTGAAACATCAAATATTATAATGTTGAGAATGCACTACCTACCTTTGCACCAATACAACAAATACCTTCAAATACCTCTTTCTAGCTTTGTCTTATAAAATGATGAACTTCAACTCCAATCAGTTCCTTTCTCAGTTTGAATCTTTCTGCAAGCTATAGTTTTCTTTTAAAGAGCTCTTGAACTCCAGATTCTCTGCTTAGTCATTACATCGAGGCCTCAAAATCAGAATTTGGAAGCATATTTAAAATATTTTGTGCGCCTGACTCTACAAGGGGAACTTTTTTTTTGCTAAAAACGCTTCAGCACTTTTGGATCTAAACACACTAAAACGTGAAATCCTTTACTTCTGTCGCAGTTTTTCACTTAGTTGATTCAGCTGCATTTACATGGATGCAAATGTTCCATTTAATTGGAATCCAAATTAATTGGAAAGTCACCTTCTCAATCAGAACTCACTGGGATGGGACTAAGAACGGCGTAGAACTCTTCACAGTTTGTTCAAACAAATAATAACCATGCCTTTTTCTTCCGGTTGATTTAATTCTATCATTTCTGCACCTGTTTGCCCCAAACTCCACTCCTGATCTCTCTGAGAAGTTCTCTCCCAGCAGTCTTTGACATTTCATCCCGGTGCTCCTGGCCCTTGGCGGAGGAAAGGGCACCAGGTTGACCGATCCTCCTGAGCTGTACAGGTCTTCTGTTTTAACTCTGTGCTGCTCAGGTTCCTGCTTAATCGAAAAGAAACAGAAAATGGCCCCAAAGACATGATGTGGGCCCATCTTGATCATTTTCAACTCACTGAATTCCCTCAGGAAAGTTCTAAAAAAAATGTCTTCTGTAATATTTCTGGCGGATTAGATGCTTTAAGGTGGATATATTCTGATTAAAAGGTGTGTAGTGTGTAAACTCACATCTTATTGACATGTGTTAGGGATAAACCGATTCTCAGCCGAGCCGTTTATCGGATCAGATGTTTACCGTTTGTAATCTATACTCAGAATGAATGACGGTTAACGAAGTATCGTCCATACAAACGCAGCTCATCGTTGTGCAGCATTAAGCAAAAATTACGATTCTAGACGGCACATCCTAGGTAAGCATCACGAGCCAATACGTCGCCTCCTGTTGGTCCCCCTTACCAAGAACTGCATGTCACCATAGCGATGTCCGTAACAGATCAATTTATTGTTAACAATCACTGTTTTGGTATAGCGTACTTCAGCAAATGGAGTAAAGAAAACACAGATTTTAAAATAAGGTCTAGCTAACAATCGCAATAAAAAGAAATAAATAGAAAATAATCCGATTAAGGTCTAGTAATTCCATGTTCATATGAATACATAACATCTACAGTATAAGTTAATAAATTGAAGCTACTGTATAAATACATCACCAGCATGCACAATATTGTATTATGGAGAATATTGGAGCAGTTATCATCTTACACTGAAGAAACAGTATAATAGGCAAGTGCAATTTCTTGACCAAGAAGAAACTGAAGACAAAAAGTAAATCCACAAACCTCAAATCTGCTTTTACAGCTTCCGCTTTAACATTGCAATGTGCTCTGTCCCAAAAAATGACACTAATCGGGTCTGTGGTTCCAGGTGCCGTTTCCCTACCGGATGTCATGAAGATAGCATTAACTGGAGAATAAGGGTGGACATTTTTCAATCAACAGGTTTTTTGTTGTTTTTTTTCCTCTTTTTTTAAATTTCATTCATTTTTATTTGTTTTTTGCTATCTGGATCAAATAACAAACATGAGGAGCCAATAGAAGTTGTTATAGTAACGACAATACCGACAATAAGAATTAGGTGTCCAAAAACAGTTAATTTATTTAATAAAGCACATCAGCACATGAGAGGGACAAGCTGCACTAAGTTTACTTTATGAATTTGTCTTTTTAGTTACAGTATGACTGTGTGACTGAGCTGGACACATACCTGACACAAAGCAAACAAAAAACATTTGGGTTTTTCTTCTTTTTTTTTTCTCTTTTTTTCCATGTGTTATCTTCAATAACAAGAGACAACCTGCTTTTCACTCGACGATCATGGGCGCGGTGCAACTAAAGATGTTTGTTTACGCGATGACACCCCCTCTAACAGCCCCCTTCTTCCTCTCTCCCGACTCGCTCCCTTCCTCTTGTCTTCCTCTTGTTCTAAGCAAGGCCATGACATTCAAGGTTACTCTTAAAATTTTCTTGCTGCTCAAGCATAGAGACTGAATTTCTGAATGCTCCTCCCCTCACCAAATACAATAAGACAGCTCAGCTTCATTTGCGCGATACGACCAGTCTCTGCCAGTGTGAAGGCATCGTTACCCAATAGCCACACTGAGATCAATGACACATACCTCTTTGCTTCTAAAGTGGTATTTTGGCAAATGCTGCAGAGGCTATCGAGGAGGGGGTTTCATTCTTTTATTTGTTTATTGTGTTTTTTTTTTTTTATTGTAGGTTATTTCTCAAACTAAAATTGTCTTCCCTCCTCCTCCTACTCTTTTTTTTTTTTCACTTTTAATTTGTGGAAAAATAAAGAACAGCAGCCGCGTCTACCATCGGCTAAATTGGCCGCCGATGTTCCACCACCGCCCCCGCCCCACCCCTCCCTTTGTTTTTTTAAATTTCTAAGAACTTTTTAACTATTATTATTATTTTTTTGTCATCATTTGTGAGCGCGCGTGTTGTGTTGTTTTGGCAGAATGAGGTTTTCAGGCTCTTTAGTTGTTGCCCTCTCCTCCCTCGTCGTCCTGCTGGTCGCTCGTCCACAGCGTCAAGTTGTCTCGTAGCAGCTGCATGATCAGAGTGGAGTCTTTGTAGGAGTCCTCGTTGAGGGTGTCCAGCTCGGCGATGGCGTCGTCGAAGGCGGTCTTGGCCAGGTGGCACGCCTGCTCCGGGGCGTTCTGGATCTCGTAGTAGAAGACGGAGTAGTTGAGAGCCAGGCCCAGGCGGATGGGGTGGGTGGGCTGCATGTGCTCCTTGCTGATCTCGTGGGCCTCGCTGTAGGACTTCTCGGAGGACTCCACCACTCCGGCTCTCTTCTCCCCCGTGGCCACCTCAGCCAGGTAGCGGTAGTAGTCGCCCTTCATCTTCAGGTAGAACACCTTGCTCTCGTGCTGCGTTTCGTTGCAGTTCTTGATCAGGAAGTTGTCGAGGAGGTTGAGCACGTCCTGGCAGACGGCCTCCAGCTCCTTCTCGATCTTTTCCCGGTAGGCCCGCACCATCTCGATCTTCTTCTCATTGCCGTCGGCCGACGTCTTCTGCTCAATGCTGGAGATGACGCGCCAGGATGAACGCCTCGCCCCGACCACATTCTTGTAGGCCACAGAGAGGAGGTTCCTCTCCTCATTGGATAGCGCTTCATTCAGCTCTGTGACCTGAACAACAAGAAGGACAGAAAGAAAGAACATGCAGACATTAGCCTTACATCCACTGTTATGGTTAAGTCAAATGTGTGGCTACAGGGATGTCTCAGTGTCATGCACTAGCTGACAAATGGTAAAATACACAACAACAGAAAGCTAGAAGAACATACAAAAAGAAATAAAGAAGAGCTCAAACGCAGTTCAGGACGATCTCAGCTACACCCAAGACAACAGTGACTGCATCCAGCAGAGTAAGCCACGCCCCCGGCACGCTGACGTCACCTCCTGAGATGCCTGCTGATTGGCTGTCCGCAGCTCTGAAAGCTGGTTTTGTTTTGTTTTGACAGGCCAGTGTCTGGCTGTAGGATTTAATCCTTTATACCCCACTGGGACTGTGCAGCAGAGGCATCTTTACAGACCTTTTTGGAGTATAAAGCCTGTTGTTACTTTCTTTTTCAGCACAGAATTCAGCTCCATGAGCATAGCAAAGCAGGGGGCCCTGGCCAATCACGTGGAACGGCTCTTCACAATGGCCGTACTGAACGCTACGCTGGCCACCGAACCACATCCACAAACCACACCAACTCTGATGGGATTGGGCTGTAAGTCCTGATATACAAATAAATGGGAACACTTTAGCAGTTTTGAGGTTTTTTTATTATTACCCCAAGAGACAAATACCACAAAATGACTTTCAATCAAAACTTAAAAAGTACACGACTTAACTTCATCTAATAAAAGGCCTTTTTCTATTATAACAACACAAGAAATGATTCAATCTGTGGCTGAACAAGAGCAACAACATACTTTTTCCTTCTGCAGTAACATTTCACATGAAGCTTCGACCATCCCTCTCACATATCTGTCCCAGTCTGCAGCATGAAATGAGCTGTCAGTGAACTCTCTGCAGCTCCAGCTTAACTATACTTAAACTATGATGGAAATACAAGGTACAGCTGAGTTGATCAGACTTTCATCAGTTTTGCAGATAAGTATTAAAAGTATAGCAACAGTAAAAGCACTGAGACATTATTTGACAGACATTTATGCACTCTGGAACAAAACTGTCTAGATTGTTTTATATTCAACGTATCATTTTGTCGCTCGCTAAAATCTCTTCAAGGAGTGTCTAAAACCTCTTTAAGGGTGCCAAAAAGTTCCTGTATGCAAGAACTCTATACAAGTCAATAAAATACAGAATATAAGATAGATGACACAGCATTAGCATGGTCTTGTTAAAAGTGAAGTGTTGCTGGTTCACCATAAGCCAGTTCTCAAAATGATGCTTTAATGAATAGTCGGTTGGGGCAAAAGGTTATTATAATTCACCCTGAGGGGAACATAAATATGTCGACCAAATTTTACGGCGCTCTGTCCTCTAGTTGTGGAGACACTTCATACAAAACCACAAGTCAGTCTCATCCTGGTGCTACAGGAAAAGTCAGGGGTCCTCAGGAGTCGTCCTCTGGGATTATGAATCTCTGTGTGTGAATCCATTAACTAGATGCTGAGATACTTCACAGGTTAAACAAACACTTTGACCTGCTGCTGCCAATAAATGGAGTGTTAGCTGGATTCATCCAACTTTTGATGTGATCCAAGCGACAGTTGTTCGTATATTTCACGTCAACGTCATGGTGGCGCTGAAGGTCACAGTCCTCACATCAGAATCAACTGGATCCATCCTCTGGGGATCATAAATGTCTGTAGAATATCAAATGCTAATAATAAATGCTTGAACTGTCGAGATAATCCAATCTAAAGTAAGGCTTTCTTTGTCTGCTTGTTTCATTACAGGCAAGTCTTTCTATCGTCGTTTTGTCTTTTCCTAAAGCCCCCAGTTTGATCACACTCCACTGCGTCAACGATAGAAATGCATCCACATGTCAGCAGCGCAGGTTTTCATTTGCACAGCAGGACGAAGAGACCGTCCGGCCTGAGAGCGTGCATGCAGCAAACTCATGGCGCAGCCTCAGCGTCCTGCTCAAGGACAAACTTAAACCTGTGACCTCTGAGGCGCATCACAGTCGCCGGGAGCTCGCGGCTGCGTCACCCTTCGCTTTGCTTTGACTGCAGAAGCACACAACAGCTGCTAATCCCTGTTCCAGTTGTTACTACGGTCTGTATTGAAACAAAACGTGTGACTAATCGTGTGCTCATCCGACATACATCTCCACCCAACTTTCACTGTAACTCTCGGTGACACACAAAGCCAGTCTGGGTTTTTTTTTGTTTTTTTTACTTGAGCTATAAGAGGGAGGGAGTGGAGGGGCAAAGAGCGACCTGTGATGCAATCTTCAGTTGCCATGGCGACTGCAAAATCTCCCTTTTTTGTTTGCGCGAGCCTCGCTATCTCTGCTGGAGATACTGGCCGCAAGCTGCTCGCGGCGAGGATGCTGACATGGCTGATGATACGGTGAGAGCCGCAGCGTGGTGGGTGGGGATGAGTGGAAGCAGCTAAACCCAACATTTTCAGTGCTCCTGTCCGTTTGAAAGGTTCCACCATCCTTCCTGACCACCGTAAAGTCGAGTAAAATTTGCTAAAAAAATATAAAGAAGTCCACATCTGTTTGGACCAAGTGTTTTCAGTCCCATCAATTTTGTTCAGCAACCAGATAAATTGACGTGAAAGTCGATGTAGTCACAGAATATAGAGAGACGCCCGCTGCCACCTGAGTCAGACAGAAATATGGTAATAAATTGCTGTTATATCTGGTACAGACTGTCATGGCTTCCACCATTTTTCTCTTGTGCCACCACAAGCTTGTGTGTTTTGCTCATGTGTGTGATGTCTTGACAACTATCAACATGGACTGCAGTGAAATTTGAAATTTGAAAGTCAATGGAGAATAAATCCTACTGGCTTTGGTAGTCCCTTCAACTCCTCTTAGTCATTGGTTTCTGCTAAACTAATGGCATTCCCATGAGCCTTAGCTGCTGGTGTAAGCCCACTATTGGCTGCTCATTTTTTCAAAATGCACTTCACCAAGTCAGACAACAACAACACCCACTTCCGAGCACTGAAGCTGATTCCCGCGTTCAGCTCCACCCATGATTGGTTTTACAGGAATACAAAGAACCCAGAGCGTTTTTATCTGTGTGGACTGGATCAGAGGGAGATCCACATGGTGAACTGAAGTGATTGGATTTTGTTGAAACTACAGCAAGATTCCAAAGTTCATTCCCGTGAACTAAAAATCCAGACGCCTCAGTGCACGTCAGCCTGCTTCAGTCCTAACGATCCAAATGATCACCTCAATCCAAAAGATAATTAGTGGACGAAGTGGCACCAAATTTAAGCAGTTTCATCACACACAGGCATCTATTCTGACACTGGTGGGCGATCCAGCGTTTACTCTCACTTCATGCCACGACTGAGCAGCTGGGCAGCAGGAGTTTTCTTACGTTCACTATCACGTCCAACTATCAACGTTCCCTCGGAGAAATCGTCTGAGAATGTGTGTTGTTATGTCTGTGGTGGCTTTTCACTCAGTCTGACAGAGTAACTATTAGGAATGACTGTAAAATGTACAAGAACTCCCTCTGAGAGGCCATAACCGGGCCTGCCAGCGCGCTTTCATTGGCGAGCCCTTCACTAACTGAATTTAGTAATCTCACATCCCGTTCTGTCTGGCCCATCCTAAGTTCAAACTTCACGTTTTTTTTTGTTAACACTCCCAGAACCATTTCCTTCCTTATTGCAGCGCCTCTCCGAGCCCGCCAGCAGAGCTGTGGAGGTTTCACCTGCTTCACAAAGGAGTGTTTCTACACAAGATGTTGTAAAACTTACAACTGTCATAAAAGAAATAACCTTTGTACTGGGAGTATGAAGACAAGCCGACAATAAAAAATGACATCTACTGCGTAACAAACCCACTTACGAGCCCCGGGGAGAAAGTCCCCCAGCCCCCCCATGGGTTCCTCCTGAAGCCCAGCCTCAGCACTCCACGCCTCGGCCCATTAAATTACAATTAGCGAGTATCTGACCTGCGCCGAGCGCGACCAGCAAGAGCGGGTCAGCGCTGGAGCGACGGGAGAGGTCAGAAAAACAAGGCCTAAACAACTCATCTGTACATACATGGCTGCCTTTGTTTCAGGAGGCTGCAGGGCGAGCAGAAAGCCCTGACGGAAGCTGCGGTGCGGGGATGACAATAGAGCTCTGTCTACCCATAAAGCTCATCAATCGCGCCTGCTCTCTCGTGACTCATCCTTACACAAGGCAGTCAAACTTCCAAAGAACCGAGTGTTAATACAAACAAAAGGCCAGGCAGGACAATCAATAACTTCCTCTTTGACAGCTCTCTCCATGTTCGTTAATGTCACAGCGAGGGCTTGCAGGGCCGGGGCAGCGTCGGGCTTAAGTACAGGCTCGGTTTGAACGCCGCGCCTTTCATTTAATAGGCTACAGTAATGAAGGCTTGCTGCTCCCTGTTTCCTCTCCTCTTCCATGCTTTCCTCCTTTGCTCCTTTGCACCCCAGTCTCTCCTAACCTGATGTGACAACCCCCCTGCAGACCCTCTTTTCAGTCAGCAGAGCACAAAGGCGCCGTGGACTACCTGACGTCACCGGCGGCGTGAATAGGGTTAGCTGGTTTAGCCACAAAGAGCCGGGAGCTAAGAAGAGGAGGGAAAGCAAGGCAGCGTATGCGCGTCTCAGTAATGATGGTGGCGAGTCGGGGGGGCCTCAAAGTGGCTCTTTGTTGCTACGCTACCACGTAAGACGGTAGTTTTTAGTGATTACAGCTTTAAACTTAAATATAAGACACGTAAAGGGTCGATCCCGGGCTCTCGCTGTCAGTGCAAGTTCAGGCAACATACAGCAGTGAAAGTTTAAAAAAAAAAAACAGTAGCTCTATCACATGCTGGTACACGAACATGTCAAATATTCCTCTAAGTAGGTAAAAGCTTATCAAAAAAGTGGGTGTTGAAGTGTTCAGCCCACATAGTTTCCTGCTTAGCTGTCACAGCCTGATGAGTTCGGCTTCAGAGGTCAGAGGTGAGCTCCTGACTCAC